TGAAAGTCATAGAAGGAAAAATTTTAAAATATGTTTTAAGTCACATAAATCTAATGCACAGTACAATGAATATAGATAATGATATTGTGCTATAATTATGGAATGTGATAAATATCACTACAACAGCAAGCATATTACAATATATAAATGTATCAAAGTAACACATTGTACACCTTAAATTTACACATTTTTTGTGTCAAATATAAATAAGTAAAAATGTTTTGTTTACTATTATAGCATCTAAAATAATGCCTGCACATGAGATGCTCATTAAATATTTGTTAAATGACTGCACTAAAGTTTGATAAAGGAAAGTCATAATTTAGACATGATTGTCTCCAGTCAGCCCAGAGTATGGCACTCTGTATGCCTAAAAACCCTGTGTTTGCTGTCATACTCCTTTATGACTAAATTCTGGGATATCAAGAAAAATTTAGAATTCAAGATATTTTTCAGCCTAGTACTTGCGATCTTTACTATCACTATACGACCATCTTGAGGCAAACACTCTGGGTCTTTTTTTGTAATAAATTTTTATGTAAAAGATTAATTTGGAAGATGGGAAGAAGTTCTTGAAGGGCATGCTTGTCAGTCTTTCCTGTTTCCCATGGCTTTGGCCACCATCTCTCTTTGAGGGCTTGTTCTTCAGGATACTGACAGCTTGATTTCTCTGGGTAACATCATGCAAAGGAAATTAGCTCAGTATGTCTTCTACTGAATTCCATCTGTAGCTCAATGTTTTAAGGTATTTGTGAACAAGGTTGCACAGTAATTTTGATAAGACAAAGCAATGTTCCGGTCTCTGAGAATATTTCTCCCCAAAAGGCATTTTTTTAAAATACCACTGAATAGCCTGAAAATTCATCCATGCAGGAGCAATCTCCTACAATATATGGAAAGCTTTTCAGGTGTCACAGCCATAATAGCAGGTGGTTCCTTTGGGTAGAAAAATTATGGCGAAGAAAAAGGGACAGCAAGCAAACCATTTTAATATTCTAGGTACAGATTTCCCCAAGTGAATCATTCCCATATGCCTACTCTTACCACTGGCCTCCTTCCAGAGGAAGTGGGTTGTGTGAATGGAAGTGTAGAGATGCATTCTGGTGGGCAAATTTTTATGGTGCTCGTATTTGGCAGATCCAATTAATCTTTAGATATTTGTCAGCCCACTCTTTTGTAAGTCTCAGAAGGCAAAATTTGAATATATAGTTGATACCTGTTTTTGCTTCGCTCATAATAAGTACATAATCTTGTTATGAAGATTCAGTAGTGCTCACTTGAGACAATACTGCTCCTGAAATGCTGCATAAATTGATTTTAAATATAAGCTTATAGGGAAGGCTGGGACTAGAGCAATTTGCAAAAGTGATCATTTAATTCACTTTTTATTATGAATACTTAGGACCTACAAAAAGCTTAAAGAATGGGTATCTACTCTGCAGTGAATTTTTGTTGCTTGTAAGATAAAAATCGGGACTGGTAAAGAAGAGTTCATTTCCAGATAGAAGTGCAGCAAAGTTGGAAATTAAAAGTTTTACTAGTTTTTTTTTCTTCTAGGTTATTTTTTTCTTTCTCCATCGTGAATAAGACTAGCATTCTTATCATTTACAGGCACACCAAGTCTCCCTTACAGAAAAGGGAGATGCTGGTGCCACCATCATAATTTAAAGCAAAAATCAACTAAGGTCTAATAGGGAAGGATATGTACAGCAAGATCGTTAATAGAAAACATGACTTTATTTGGATGAAAGATAACTACATTGAAAAATAAGAAGGAAACACAGTTATTAAGCTAATTATATTTGGCCCTTCCCAATCTTAGAGAGGTGTCATTTACTAGCTGTATGACATCAGGCAAGTCCTTTAACCTCTCTACACCTCAGTTTCCTAAATTGCATGGTAAGGATGATAATAGGACTTACCTCTTAGGGTTGTTAAAAGAAAAGCCCTAAAAATAGTGCTGGGCATACAATTCTCAATAAATGTTAGCTCACTTTCTTCTTCCTTCTCAACAGAGTATTAGCTCCACATCAGAGCAGTAACTTTGTCTTATTTAGTTTTGTATCTTCAGCTTCTATTTTTCCTACAGTAGGCTCTCAATAAGATTTGTTGAATCGATTAATTAATGAGAGTAGTTAGGCTTTGAAGTTGAAAATGAAAGAGAATTTGTCCTAAGTTTTATCGATAGTTAGGGAAAAATAGACCTCAGGTTTAGGGTTGGTTAGGGAAGTGGGAAAGAACTCTAAGATGAGGAGATCCATACTCAAGTTTAAATTCTTCTTATTCCCTAGGTGTTAAGACATTGTAAAATGAGAGTAACTTCCAAGCTTATGGAGGATTAAATTAAGGTATATGCGAAAGCTCATAATAAACTATAAAGGGATATGAAAACACATGATATTATTAATTTTTATCTCGGTAAGTTTATTCATTGTGTGACAAAAAAAATGATTCTATGAAAGTCTTGGAAGAAAGAATCTTTAGCTAAAGATTTAAGTACTAAAAATATTCAACCCCAGAGGTACCACAGACATAGACTAATTTTTTCCATCTGTGCAGTGTAGGGTAGATTTGGCATGCACTCAATACCAAGCAAGAAAGAAACTATAGTTTAGGCTGCTTTTAAAGTTAAAAAAAAAAAAAAAAAAAGCAGAAAAGGAAACTATTTCCTTTTATAAGCATGAATGCTAAAATAGGGAAAGCCTTCATCGAGCAATTCACCATCGAAGCAAGACTATTTAACCCATATCTTCTCCTACCTTTCCCTATTCTCTTTTTATGGTCTAATTAGTTAGTTGTTTTCTATAACATGATTTATATATTATGGTCACCTCCTCCCTACTGAAAAAAGAAGTATAGATTATTCTTTTTCAGCCACATGTGATGCAGAGGTCAAAAGAGTAGTTCTTTGTGGTAGTCACTCCAGATTAGTAATATTTAAAGATCTGGGTTTCAGAGCCAGGGATTATTCATAATATTATGTCTTTAAGATTAGGCCCCACCTAAGATGTCTCAACAGAGCCTGAGTTTGAGGTTGAGAAACTGACTTAAGGAAAAAGATAAAGGAACAAAAAAAGCCATAGTGGGCGAGCTGATGACTCACTGTCCCTTCCTTGAACTTTAGAAATGACAAGATGGAAGAGGGAAAAAAGGCAGTGTCCCACTGCAGACTAGATGTTTCATGAAAGACAAGAAATTCAGGGCATTTAAAACTTATATATGTTCTTAGGGCAAAGACAATAAATATAATTTTCATGGTCAAGTTGTTAAGTTGATCAAAGAAAAGACACTAGCTTGATTACACTTTACCACCAGAGCTATCATTTTAAATCTGATCATTTTTTTTCTCCTGCCTAAAAATCCCGATAATTCTACATTACTACCAGATCAGGTCTAAACTTACAATGGCATAATCCTAACTTTCCTTGTTAGCTTCATCTTTTAATTAAATCTCATTACATATCTTGGAAGGTATAGGGTACAACTCATATTTACCAAATAAGCCCAATACTTTTAAACACTGATCCATTTCTTTACACTATTCTCTCTTCCCAGGAGTTTCATCCCAGGGCAAACCTCTAACTGTGCTCCAAAGCCTGGCTTAAGTATTATTTCTTCTCTGTAGCTTTCTTAACTCTCACTCTCTCCCATTTAGAATGATTGTTTTTTCACCTATGGAGTCATTGAATTTACACATGCCTTTGTTAAATCACAACTCGATGCATAGACTCATAGGGTTCAACTGTCTCCCCAACCTACTGGGTACTCCATAAAGCAAGTGTGAGCTGTCATTGTGAAATTCTTGACACATCATAGGAGTATAATGCAGGTTTGTTGAACTGAATCAATTAGAAGAGGACTAAAGCATCAATGGATTTTCTAGGCCTAGGAATTATGCTAGGACTAGAAAGTATATGCTAAATCCACATATTTGATTCTGCTTTTGATTTTATCAGAGTGCATGCAATTTGCTTTTATTAAAAAAGTGTCATGAATATATTTCCTCAGGTAAAACATTATTAATCTGTTTTCGGCTTAGAATTGGACTTCTAATAACCTGATTACTCAAAAGATAGCTGAGTAATTTGAAAACTTCTCCATCTGGAGCGGAATCACATTTGGGGCCTGCTTCCGTCAGAGCACCTGTCTTGCTTTTGCTCTTCAAAGAGCTGCTCAGTCAGCTAGAGTCTTTGAAAGCACACGCAGAATGGAAACCAGGTGAACTCTGCTGAATTTTAAACTTGCTACATTCTCTATGTTAGCATTAAACTTTTCTTCTCTAATTAAATGTTAACTGAAGCCTTATATAATATAGTGTCAATTTATTTTTTATCTTATCCATCATGCCATCTCGTTTCAGAAATCCCAGATCAAAAAACAAATTGTTCCACTCATCTATTTCGTTCCTTTGGTGACCTTCTGTCAGTGCCTATGGTCAGTGTGAAAGACTTTTAGAAAAGTTTTCCAGGTCCTCATAACAGCATTTCGGAAGCATCTTTTATCTTGGTTTACAGCAAATGATTCTGTCAATGCCCACAGGTCACTTTACCCTAAGACTTCGTTCGACCTTGAAATCAGTCACCGAGGCCCTCACCTAGGGTACCTTAGACTGTAGTTGTCCAGCATGTGTCTTGGCGAAATAAAATTATAGCTGGCACATGTCCAAACATCCTCAGTGGGAACAGCATAAAGATTAAGAGCGGGAGCTTTGGAGTCAATCCGTCTGCGTTTGAATCTGGCCAAACCTCCGACCAGTTTTGTGGCCTTGGACAAGCTCCTTCACTTCTCTATGCCTCACCTGTCTTATCAATAAAAAAGGAACGATAATGGCACCTACCTCTCATGGAAAAAGAGAGAAATAAGTAAGTTAAACATGTAAAGCATTTAGAAGAGTGTCTGGCACATGGTAAGCACTCAATAAATGTTGGCTTTTATATTCTATACATTTATATTTTTAAGTGAAAAAAATGGGTACAATAAAATAATTAAAGGAAGGCTGGTCATTTTTAGAACAAAACTTTATTTACAAAACTGCGACTCAGTCTGTTTTGGTATCACTATCGACGAAATGCCTACAGCTGAGATATTAGTTAAGGCGATACATTATTTTAGCTATACATAAAACCAGAATCCAACACTACCCCCATTTCCTATTTCTGTGTGGCTCTGTACACAGCTTTAAAAAAGAACAAACTTGCTTTGTAATGTACAATGGCTTAAGCAAACCACTTCTTCATTTTGTTTTGTTTTTTTTCTATTTAAGGGTTGGAACTGAGACTACTCATCTAAAATTTGCTATTTACAGAGAAAGCCCTAGAGAATGGGAAAACTTAAAGACAGAGGTTTAGCTTATCTGGCTTTCATAACAGTGATATGACTTTAGAGGAATGTGAATGAATAATATTGGTAAACAGTATATACTGATAATTTTGTGACAAATCCATTTATCTAACACCATGCTGAGGAATCAAGAGGATTTCTCCATACATTTTAAAATTTATTCTATTTGCTAATTCACAATCTTGCTCCATATTAAAGTAGTTATCACTAATATGATAACCAGTACCCATCGAAACCTAAGATCCTGTTTTAAAAAATTCCCTGTTAAGCTTTAGTTCCTAGTTGGGCTTCCCATACATATGCCTGATTATATCCATAGATTTATGCACGTATATATGAGTGGTCAACATATGTATGGGTACTAATGCCTCTTTTCAGTAATGTAAAATAATGGTATCTGGCATTTGGTTGTAAGAAAAACTTCCCCAGATTGGGAGGTAGCTGAGTGACACATGAAAGAATCTTCTCCTATCTGAATTTAAGAATACATCTGTACTAAACAGAATGATGGAGAGAGGAAGAAGTAGAAGAAAAGAACTACATTGGCTCAAATTAAACTCAGATAATTATTTTGAGACAGCAAATAAATAAATAAAAAAATGCCCCATTTTTTTTTTAAAGAAATCACTGGCAAATCATTACTAACAATTTTAAAGTTGATCCATTAATACACATTTTAAATAGGAAAAAGTTTGAGTATTATATCTATCATAATTCTATTTATCTAATACACTCCTCAGTTGAGATATCTAATATATCTTCATCTGTACTTTCTTCTATCTCTGGCAAGTTGCCCCAAAGTAGGAAGTTAGCACCTGAAAATAAAAGGTCATAAAGTTATCTGATGCTGACTGCTGGTACAACTCAGATCATGATACAGGAAATCTTATACGTTAACATTCTTATATTAAGCCATATTGTTAGCAGTAAAGAGAAAAGCTATGAAAGAATGGGGCACAAAAAAATTATCTAATATTATTCATCTAGGACATAAACATTCTTTTAGCCCTTTTAAGCAATGGCTTGAATTCTAGAATTTTGGAACTCAAAAGGATGTCAGGAGTCCATTTACTCAAACCCTGCTTCCAGCTACATTATGCAATAATCACTCTACGCTGATAATTTTCACATCTATTTTAAAGATTTTTAAGAACAGAGATCTCGCAAGATCATTTCAGATTAAATATCTCCTTAGAGTGTGCAAGAAGAAGGCCTGAATCAGTCTCCTGATCTCCTCAATGAACATGGAAGTAGCTGGTGCCTTTTTTCTGATTAAAAAAAAAAGCAAAGTTTTGGAGCCAATTATAATAGGAACAGTAATCCTTGATGTGGGTGGGTTTTAGTCCATAGGTGGTCAAGGTAGAACTGTAAACTTTAGGACCAGGTTGTCAATACAATAAACAAAACAACAATGTAAAGCTGTCAATACAATAAACAAAACAACAATGTAAAGCCTCCTTGTGAAAGGACAATCAGATTTCATATTGAAGAATCCATAAGACCATATATATGGTAGAGGATAATGAGATGGTTTATTCTGGGCATGTATGGTATTATAACTTGAAAGCACTAAATTGAAAAAAAAAAAATTATTAATTGACCTCTAGGAGAGACAGTGAATCCAAGAAAGCCAATCTCAAGCTGTCCAGTTGTCAGTGTGGACACAAGGAGGACTCAGCAACTCTGGATACCCTCTCCACACATACCAAGACGGTGGCCACATGGTGGAAAAGAATGAGCCAGGCTTTGGAGATTTGGTTTGAATTCAGTTTCCACCACTTACCAGTACACCATGGATATTTTTTTTACTACCTTTACTACAAATGCATGCAACTCAGACTATATATATTATAGTTTTGTGTATTTAAATTCTTTACAACATGGTATCTTTTCTAATTCGCTTTTTTCATTAAACATTAGCTTTTGAGATTTACCTATGTCTATATGTGTAGATTTCATTTATTTCTGTAGAGTATTCCATTATGTGAATTTAAAAAAATATGTGTGTGTAGCCCATCACTCATCCTTCCCTCTAACTGCCCATTTAACACAGGCGTCCAAGGAGACACGTACAAGAATGTGCATCGTTGCATTGTTGAAACAGTAGAAACAATCAACTGTCTCTCCTGGTTGAGATACTGGAATCTAATCAAACAAGAAGTTAGCATTTATTTGATGCATATAGATGCCTATTATATTATTTTCTATAATTTTTTTGTGTTTAAATTGTTTATAATAAAAAGTACTTTTTCCCCCCCACAAGAATGAATGGTGTTTTGCTTCTGGCAATATTGCATTGAAGAGGTGACAGGATAGTAGGGAATTGGTAGGTCAAAATCTAAGGAACAGTTAGAACCCATAAAGGTCAATGGAGAGCTGAAGTCAATTTGCCTGCATTTGTCAATCCTAGGGAATTTGAGCTGAGGTTTCTCAAGCCTCCTCAGGAAAGTTTCAGGAAATCAGGTCTACATGTGTAGGCTAACCTAGAACGTAGACTTCTTGGGGGCCCTTTCAATCTAAAGATTCTAGAATTTTATAAAGCTTGTGTATGTATTCCTTTGATGCTGCTGATTCAGGTGTTTCAAGGACAGTTCCAACAGCCACGAGACACCCTGCTTTATACCAAGCATCTAGAAAATCCTGCCTTAAAATCACAGTATTAGGGTCACAAAGAAGTTTGATATTCTTGGAGTCAATACTCAGAGACATGAGTAGCTCTCTGTACAATTGGTTCAAAGAAGAAAAAATAAACTAAGAGATTGGATCTGACAGAAGCAGCACCTTCCTTTCTCTGTTAAGAAGGGAGGAAGGAAATCCTGTGATACATCTGTTTCTCATGGATTAGATTCAATGCAAATGGAAGAATGCTGGGCTTTTATCTTTGAAAAATTAACTAATATTAAAAAGTAGAATCAAAATTGAAAAATCTCCACCCTGTGTTTTGAATTGTATGAAGCAGGAAAAATAATATCAAAGCAGAAACTTCCTTTAATGTGTCCCATGAACAACACAAATATAAAACTGGAAACCTAAATTAGGAGTCTATATCTCACTTAGAAGAGTTCAGATAAGTCCTCGCTCAAAAATGGTCTCTTAACATACACCATGGATATTTAAATTAAGACTGTGAATGATGGGTTGAGAGCCACAATTGAACACCAGGTGATAAAAAAAATCCGAGTCTATAAAAACTGAAGCATAATTGGAGGGTTTGAAGACCCTGACAACCTAGCTTACAATTGTGATCGTTTAGCCTATGAAAGCAAATCATACTTAAAAAATAAAAAGATTATATTTTAAGTTCTGAAGAAAACTAAAACATACATTTAAAAACCTGAGTGTAGTGCCAACTTGGATTGTCAAGCTCTTTAACCTTGTTCTGTAAGCTAAAGTTCTGTAAACTTTAGTTCTCACTAAAAAAGTCCCACTAAACATCAATTTGGTCTATTGTATAAATAGATATCAGACATTGAGAACATGTGTCCTATAACAAAACTGAATGCTCCAGACAATATAAAATGTATTATGTAAATATCCTTTAAGAATTGGTTATATGTTTCCTACAAAATAATTAGTATAACTTTTTGTTACTATTTCCCTTGACTAAAATTCTATCATAACTTACTAATATAGATGTCCATTTTTATCCTGAAGTAGTAGTCCTCAACCGTTTTGGCACCAGGGACCAGTGCTCCCATGAGAATCTAATACTTGATGATCTGTGGTGGAGCTGAGGCAGTGATACTAGAGCTGGGGAGTGGCTGCAAATGCAGATAAAGCTTTGCTTATTCGCCTGCTGCTCACCTCCTGTTGTGCAGCCTGGTTCCTAACAGGCCATGGACTGATACAGATCTGCAGCCCAGGGGTTGGGGACCCCTATTCTAAAGCAATATCACCAAATACAGAGGTTACTGAGTCATCTTCCGTCCCAACTCCCCACAGCCCTAGCTTCTCTTACACATATACATACACACAATTGACTATCAAATCTAAAATCTTCTAAAATTCTCTGGAGTCATAGTATGTATCAAAGCAGCAATTTAGAGCAATTACAATACTAATTTAAAAAGGCCAAGAGATCCAGTCAAGTAGAGGCTCTTAAACACAATGATAGAAATAGAAATGACAATGAATTCTGGCTAGTAGTTTCCATTAGTGAATATTTGGGATAAAAGGAATGAAGTTTCACTCCAGCAGGTCTAACCTGGGTAGGAAGTTTTTAAAAGGAATCCTGAAATGATCTATTCAGATTTTCACTCAGGTATTGATGGATAACATGTTAAAGGAATGTCTGAGTCAATTGTTTCTTACCGGTAGAATCTAGTCTGTTAATACCATAAACTGCTCGGCTGTGAAACATCCAGAAGTGTCCATTGTTACAGGAAAGAAGGCAAGAACAACATGGAACAATCACATGATAACCTACAATGTTCCCACTAAAAAAGAAAGTAAATATTATTAGATACAATGTAATACCTGGCCATGTAAGCATTTTTATGTGCTAATGTAAATAGATGACATAAAGACCTCATTTCCTCCTAACATCCTCCATTGCTGGGATCTTTGGAGTGAGAGTTACTCTGATAATGGTTATAGTTCTATTGTTAAGTGGGAAAACTTTTTAAGTTAAGTGAAATGATACTAACACATTCTCCATTTCTTTGCTAGTATTATTTTATGCATTCTCCTTTCAGAAGCTAGCTTCTAGATGGCATAAGGTTGTCATTTGTTCTGTAAAGCACCCAAAATTGATGTTCAGTACAGACAAATTTATTAAATAAACTCAGATCTGTGGGTAAAAGGTTTTTTGCTCTCCCCAGGACTGTGGCAAGTTGGGTTCTTATATGTTCTAGTTCCATGCCAGCACCTAAAAACTGTTTCAACAGATGGAGGAGTAGGAAGACAGCATGAGCCCCTGGAAACCAAACACAAGCTGGCTGCTCTAATTTTAGTTTCAGTGTTTTTGAAAGAATTCAGAAGTAAAGCAAATCCACAGCCTCTAGAGAAAGTTGCAAAAGTTCTTATTGTGTTTAGGATTATCCATCTGATTATAAGTATCTCATTCTTCCACAGATTTTTTCCCCCTATCTGGTTACTATTAAATGGAGTGAATATACAGGGAATGTTTTTTAAAGTACATATAGGGAATGTACTTAAAAAAAAAAAAGACAATATGAACTGTTCATACCTTGAGTTGTAAAAATTCTTATTATAGCTCGTTCTCACCCTGTGAGATGTAAGAGTCAGTCATTTTTGTGAGGCTTTATAAAAAATACTACAAAAGGTACCAGCCCACCTAAAATATGTATTCTAATCAAAATATGCTTGAAAGGCAAACAGATGAAAACAAAAGTTGTTCTTGGATTAGGACTGACAGTTATTTCCAAAATTAGGTTGCAAGAGTAAATTCTATGGCTTTAATTACCACCTGTATTCATTCACTCAATCAATTAATGCTTATTGAACACGTATTATACGTTAGGTACTATTCTAGATGCTAGGAATACAACAAGGTTTTTGTTTTCATGGAGCTAACACATTCCAGTAGAGACACATCAGACCATTTTTCTCCCTTGTTAAAACCCCTTCAATGGCTTCCCATTTGCCAAAAATGAAAACAAATAAACCCCTTCATACCAGGGTCTAGATCCAAACGTGGCTATTGAGCACTTGTAATTTGGCTAGGCTGAACTGAAATGTGCTGTAAGTATAAAACATATACCAGATTTGAAAGACTAAGAATAAAAAATAGATGTAAAACGTTTCGATTATTTTTTATGTTGGTTACACACTGAAATAAAATATGACCAAAATTAATTTCACCTGTTTCTTTTTACGTTTTAAAATGTGGTTACTAGAAAATTTAAAATTCATATGCGGCTTGCATATTTCTACTGGACAGTGCTGCTCTAGATTATCTGTTTTAACTGCATCTTTAATCTACTCACACTGCTCTCCCCGCAGTGCTCACTCACAGTGTCTCAGCCACACTGTCATCATCTTTTTATTCCTTGGTACAAAGCTTTGTCTTGCTTTGGGTTCTCTGCACCTGCTGTTCCCTAGGCCTAGAACATTCTTCCTCTGGCTCCTTCTCATCCTTTCGGATTCAATCAACTTCAGTGTTACTTTGTCATGAGGCTTCCCTAACTATGCGCTCTAAAATAGCTCTTACTTACTTTCCCAACCTCTATTATTCTGTATAATTTATTATCGTTCCTTCCTTTGGGCACTTCCTACTTTATTCGATATCTTATTTATTCCCATTAGAATATAATGTCCAAAGGCCAGTGACTTTGTCTTGTTTATTGCTGTATTTCTAGCTCCTATAAATTTGACTAGCACCAGGTAGGATCTCAGGACCTCATTATGCAATTTGAATGAATGAATGAAATTAAATAGTCATTAGCACAAAAGTGGAGTTGCTAACTTAAATTATTAGGATTATAGTTTATAATCCAAACCCCATTTAAGTGAGAAAATCTCAACCTTCTCTAAAATAGAACTAATTACACTCAAGTCTACCTCTCAAAAGATAAAGCTTTCATCTGTGTTGTAATTTGTAGTTTATCAGCCTTTTAACATTCATAATTCATTTGATCTTCATAACAACTCTATGAACACAAAAGATACTTTAATTTCTATCTTAAGAAGATACTTTAGTTTCTATCTTCTGAAGTGTATCTTCTTAAGATAGAAATTAAATAAGAAAACAGAGGGACAGAGGTTTACAGGTTTAAGGAGTTTACTCAAGATCACATAGACAGTAAGGGTAGGGTCAGGGCTCAGAATGATTTTTATGACAGAAAATCTAAGTGTTTTTTTCCCTTCTAAACTACATTGCCTTTTTCTAAAAATTAAAGCAGATATCTGTCAATGAGCTTTGAAAAATTTTAAATCATATACAAATGTAAAGTGTCACAAGACCCTTTAAAAAATAGCTGTAAGTAACAAATGGTTTTTCAATAGCCTATTGCATGGATTATAACCACTGTTCAGCACAGTCCACTGAACCTTTCTCTCTGCTTTGGTGTTGACATCCGTCTCCCATACCCAGGGCTATCTAGAATAATACCATTTCAAGCATGCGATGTCCTTCAGTTTACATTTGCAGATTTCAGTGAAATAGCATCTTCCAATTAAGTCCACTGTGCTGGAGAGGAAAAAGCGTAGAGATATTCAAATGTACTTTTTTAAATTGTAAAATACACATGACATAAAATTTACCAACTTAACCATTTTTAAGTATATAGTGCAGAACTGTTAAGTATATTCACATTGTTGTGCAACAAATCTCCAGACCTTTTTCATCTTGTAAAATCAAAACTCTATACCTATTAAACAACAACTCCTCATTTCCCCCTTCCTTCAGCCTCTGGCAACCATCATTTTACTTTGTTTCTATTAATTTGATTGCTTTAGATACCACATATAAGTAGAATTATACAATATTTGTCTTTTTGTGACTTATTTTCACTTAGCATAATGTCCTCAAGACTCAACCATGTTGTAGAATGTGACAGGATATCCTTCCTTTTTAAGGCTGAATAATATTTTATTGTACATATATACCACATTTTGTTTATTCATTCATCTGTTGATGGACATTTGGGTTGCTTCCACCTCTTGGTTGTGAATAATGCTGCTAAGGACATGGGTGGGCAAATAACTCTTTTAGATCGTACATTAAATTATTTTGGATATATACCCAGAAGCAGGATTGCTGGATTATATAGTAATTCTGTTTTCAGTTTTTTGAGGAACTGTCATACTTTTCTCTAGCAGTGGCATCATTTTACATTTCCACCAATATTGCACAAGGGTTCCAATTTTTCCATATCTTTGCCGTCAAATGTACTTTTGATTGTGATTTAGTATGAATTTTGTAGTCCTAAAGAGCTGAAAGAGGCTCAAAGTAGAACTATAGTATATTTTGTGAGAGTCAGTTAATATTTGTGAGCTTACCATAAACATGACAAACCTTATGTGTTCATTGATTCATACACATCTTAGCACATTAATCCATTACCATTATAACTCCTACAAGGAAGAGTAGACAATAGGAAAGACCTGATTTTATTCTAGACTCTGGTCTAACGTCTAACAATTCACATATCTGAGCCCTCCTTACAACTGTCTTATTACATACCACAGCTATTGTAAAGATGAATGGGTTAATATTTTACTCACAGAAACTTTGCAATAGTAGGTTCCAGATATATTATCCAGTGCTTTTTCTTTTTGCAATACACCACACACACACACACACACACACACACACGCACACACATGTACTGAAAATATTAACCTATTTATCTTTGCAATAAATAGCTTTGCCATTAGGCATGACTACATTTAAGCCAATTCAGATGATTTCTAGAAAGGAAGAGTCCACAGCTTTGAGTATGTTATAAAATAATTTAAAGCTTCTATCATTACCATGAAATTCATTTTAAAGTATTATGACTATTAGCCTGCCTCCTTATGGCTTTGTATCCAAAGAACAGTTGTTTACCCATATTTTGGATTATTAGTCTTTCACTTTAATGATAGTTTCAATAAAGAGCTAAATCTTGAAAAATCATGTAAGTGCTATGTTGCTTATGGAAAAAGAAAGTACTTTTTAGAGTTAGAAAAAGGTATATTTGAGTCAGATAAAATGGCCATTTTTCCAAGTAGGAAACAAATTTTTAAGGACTATACATCCAAAAGTGTGTAGTGACTGAAAACAGAATTTAAAAGGATTTAATTATGCAAATGATACATGATATCCAAAATAGGCTTTATGAGAGACAAAGATTATTTTAGGGCCGTCTCTATTTCATCCCATAAAAATCTATTAAAGTTTCTCTCATTCAGAAAGAGATTTTATGGGAATATTGAATTATACAGACAATGGAATCAGATTCATTCAGCATGCCAATTGCAAACAATGGTAGAAAACTATGAATGTTTTTGGTGTAAAGCTATGGATTAAAAATGAAAAATTTAAATTATCTTTCCTCTCCAACAGTTCAGAAAATCTTGCTTGAATTTACCTAGAGTCTAGGTCATGAACTTGATCTAGTGGAGGTAGGTGGTTGGGCAGGGCATAGCACCAGGGTTCCAACTTAAGGGATGTGGTCACATGACTATAATTGAACTAGAAGCATTACATCAGGACTGACCACTCTGGCTAAACCACAGATTTTGTCCAGACAGTCTGCCCACTTAGTTATTCTCCAAGGGGATCATCAGACTGTTGGGAGTGGCTGGAACACCAAAATGATAACCTCCTTGTTGACTCCCAGAGGTCCAAGCCATACACTTTTCCCATTTAGTTAAAGGCTACCGTTGCCCGCCACTAGCATGACTTACTTGGTAGGAGGGATGTCTGTAGAGAAAAGGTCTATTTCAGTATCAGCCAGCAAAACAGCCTTCATTCCCCTAGAGCTGAGCACTTGTTTACAGAATTTGCAACACAAGATGGACACGCACCGGTCCTTGAAACTGCAAGTGCTGGTAGACATGGCGTCCCGGGACGGATGGATGAGGTGTACGATTTTGAAAATGGAAACAAGAGCAAGACCTTTTCTAGTCTGATTCCCCCAGGCTAAAAATAAAATTGCGAGGCCTCGAGATTTTCTAAACCCCCAAATTGGGAAGGAAATGAATTCTTTTCCGTTTTCTCGTGGGAGGGTAAAAGTAATATTTATTGAGCAGAAAACGAGAGAAGCAGCAATTTTGTCTTTCCTTATAACTTTCGAGGAAGGGAGTGGAGTTTGAAGCAGGAACGGGACAAGATGCAAGGGGCCTAGGGAACTTCTCTACGGTTTTCCCTTCCTCCCGTCTAAAAAGGATCCTCCACTCTAGCTCCCGCCCCTTTAGCAATTCCAGGATAATCTCTTAAAGCTTCTCCTCCCTTAAGCACCTCCCTCGGAGAGCTCTAATTCGGCAGGCTAAGTGTCCCTACCCTCGCCTTCTCTTTGAAAATCTTTTTCTTCTTCCCGAGCTTCAGAAATCCCCACAGCTCTTCCCACCAGGACGATCCCAGCTTCTCCTCGGTCCTTCCGCGACCTTCCTTCGCTCTGCTCTTCTGCCGGCCTCTCTGCTGCGCTCCTCTCCTAGCAGCCCCTAGCCCTCAGCGTGCTGGCTCACGCGCCGTTTCTCTCGCGTCTCCCACCCCTCAACTCTTCCTCGTGTCCCCCGCCTTCCCCTCAGGTTGCTCCCGGAGCGGCCGCTCCAGAGTGCGCGGTGGTGTTTGTGAGGTCGCTTTTGGGGCGCAGTCGGCGTTGGGGTCTCTAACCACCCAACACGTCGTTTTTATCCCCTCTTCCGCTCTCTCTGACTTTCCGACCCGCTGTCAGTTTGAATTGCCAGCGCCGCTCACGGATTGGGAGAACTAGAGCTCGCCCACGTCCTGCATTGGACGTCTCCGGAGCCCTCCCCTGACGAGTTCTTAGTGGCGAGGTGGCGGTACACCCCGCCCCGGTAACGGTGCCAAGATCAGTTCGGCTTTCTCGTTGGCTGAGCGTTTCTCTGTCTCTGATCTCATTGGCGGACCTGGGGAGGTTTGGGCGGATCCACTCCTGCCCTAGTGGCAAGGACGCCCTTCGCGCTTCTTATTGGAAGACGTCCTACAGTCCCCACCAATCTCTACTCTCTATTGGCTAAAATTCTCCGCAACACCCCTCCTCTCCATCTCGGTCCAATTGCTCTTGCCTTTTCTCAAGAATTTGTGTTTGGTTGCTGGTTCCAACGCAGTCCCGTCCATTAATTCTAGTTTAGGGTTTGGCCACTGCCTGAGGAGCTTACAACGTTGCCACGCCTCGGTAGTGCTAGTCACACCTCCAAGTTTCACCAGCCCCTCCTCCTCATTCCTGGCCTCTCGGGACCAGCTATTCCTATTGGCTATAGGCCCCATCGGTCGATAGAAAGCGGGCGGTGATTGGCAAGGGGGTGGGCTCTGCTTCCCGGCGGGGTCCTGCGGAGTTGGCGGATTCTCCTCAAGGGACTAGGGGACCAATCTGCGTAGAAGCGGGTGGCGGGGAAGAGAGGGGTGGAGAGCTCTGAGTGGGAAGCGGAGCCGGGGGCCTGGGACCCGTCGCGTCAGAGCCAGGTAAAGGCTCCTTCCCTCTCCCCTTTTTTCTTACCCGCCTCGAGGCTGGAGCCCTGACTGAACGAATCCGGGCAGGGGCGGAAAGGAGAGGGTGCGGATGCTGCTCGATGCATCGCCGTCGCGGTGCCGCCCGGATTCCCTCAGACCCCCTCCCCGGCGACCCTGTCCAAATCTCCGGGTACAGCCCGTATTACTTTACAGGACTGCGTTTCTCTCCGCTCTTCACCATACCGCGAGGGGCTCTGCCCTGGCCCACCCTCCCCCGCGCTGCCCGCCCCCAGCCCCCTCCCCCAGTCCTCTGCCCACCAGCAGCCTGGG